CTGCAGCAACAGCCGCTGCCGCCGCCGCCGCCGAGCTGCCCTTGAACGGGTTGTTGGCGCTGAACTCCCGCCACTTGGCACCCAGCACGGTCATCATCTTGGACATGGGGATCTTGGGGTTCTTCTTGGCGATCAGAGGCCTGCGGGGCAGGGGAGAGGGAAGCCCGGGTGGTAACAAGAACACTCTGCTGCTCCTGCCTGCCGTGTGCTGGCTCTGCAGCCCCAGGCGTGTACCCAGGGTGCCCAAACCAGCCTCAGAGCAGCAGTGCCATGGGAAAGGCAGCAGCATCCAGAGCTTTCTCAAACAAACACACCTAAAAAGGGGGTGGCTCAACCTCCCCAGAAGCCCCTTTCCCTGACATATCCACTGTGCTTTGAATAGCTCACAGGACAAGCAAAAATTTATTATTGTTAATCGATTTTTCTCATGAAACTTTTCAAATAAACACATGCAAAAACGAGGTATTGGAGACATGAAAAGGAGAGAGAATTGCTGCAGCTGTTTTCCAGATAACCCCACAATTAAGATGGGAGTCTGAAGGTCTGAGTCAGGCAGGGAGAAGCAACAATAAACTCATGATGCAGAATTTATTTCACAATTTCATCCATTTCACTGATCAAGTCCCAAACGTCAACCACTGCCCAAGGCCCCATCCAGACCTACCTGAGGAACTGGCTGAAAGCCTTGTAATTAGTCAGAGTGTGATAATCCTCTTCTGAGAAAATGTAATCTACATCATCGAGGCCCCACTCCTCCATCAGCTGGGCTGAGCTCTTGGGCTCCTGTAGATTTACAGAGATTTACAGCATTTTACCATGAACAAAACTGACTGCAGCTGCACAGATGAGCAGGACAAGGCTGGGTCTCTACTGTGCCCTGTATCAAACATTCTCCCTAGACAGCAACACACAGGGATTTATTTCTGCAATTTAAAAAGCAGAACTTGCACAACAGCTTCATAATCTACTGCTTCACACACTTCCAAAAAACAAATTAACATGGCACCAGCTGGGGGTAAAGGAATCTTTGGTACCTTTAAACCCCCATCCTCATTGTCATCCTCTTCTTCATCCTTCTTCTTTCGCTTTGGCTTTTTCTCCTTCTTGTCCTTCAGTTTTTTCTTCTTCTTTTTGTTGGGGGAATAGTCACTCCCTTCACTCTCTGATTTCTCCTCGATCTCCTCGTCATTGTCTGACATTTCATCATTGCTTCCCTAAAACAGAAACGGACAGTGGAGAACGAGCAGGGCCTGCCCCTTCTCCAGCACCAGGCACTGCTGCCACCAGCCCAAGCGCAGGCGGGTCCTGCCCTGCCCTCCCGCGCCCCGGGCGCTGTGACACCGCAGCCCCAGGCACCGGCCCGGTCCCGGCGGCTCCAAGGGCTGTCGGACCGGGAGGCTCCGAGGGGCACCCGGGGCTGCTCGAGGCTTCACAGGCACGTTCTTCCCCTTCAGCACCGCGGACAGCGCCGGGACCCGCCCCGGCCGCCCCGGGC